TTGAAGTTAATTTTTATAATTAAACAGTTGGTAAGTGTAATCTTTAGCAAATCAAAATAAATATAAATTTTTCATACGGTTTCAAATTTTTTCAATTTCACTTGAAAAACTAAAAATGACATTTTATTATTTATTTGGGTTAAAAAAAAAGGAAGTTTTCATAACGACTATATGTTGGTTATGAGCTATAGCATGATCCTATTCCTGATTGCAAAACAGAAACTGATTGTATTGCATTAGAAGAATAAAAATCATTACAAACACCATTTCATGTTCATTCTTTAAGCTCTAGTACTACTGTTGTTTTATTTAGTAGCTGTTTTTGTTGTTCACTGGGGATTTTGCCAGACTGAAGTAAGCATTTGAATTTGAGGTCTCCTAATAAGCTCATTTAATTCTATTTGTCTTGCAGGGAAAATCACGATCAAGAGAAACCTCCGTTGAACAGTCTGACAGACAACACAGTTGCCATGGAGGTCACGTAGCCCCGCCCCTTCGAGTGTTCACAAACCACCTCTCAATTGGGGCGTCTCCTTTAGGTGCTATGCATCATAGCGACGCTGTTTCCGTGGCAGCCGTTGGGACTTAATTGCAATGCTCATCTTTTTTGTTTTTGTCTTTTTCCAAAATGTTGTTACTGTTAAGATATCAGCATCTGTAAATTATGAAATATGGAAAATATTCTATGTACATACATATTTGTAATTACACCCACTTGTATATAACATTACTTGAATACAGAAATTGTTCATTTGTGATGTTTTGCACTTGGGGAAAAAAAATCAGAAAAAAAACTGCGATTTTCGTAGTGTGCGTGTGTGTCGGAGATTGTGAATGTTCAAGTGTTTGTGAGACTGTATCTGAATGTATGTGTCACATGCATGGTGCAAAACCTGCTGTTTTATCTATTTATTGTGAGGTGTTTACAGTTTTGTTTTTCTCCCTTTAAATTCTAAAAAATTTTGTTTGTTTTAATACACTGTAACCTCCTGGGTTTCTGTGCAGTGTATGTGAGCGTGGGTTTGTGTGTATGTAGCTAAAGCAGTTGTATGTGAACATCTCTTGTTGGAAAAAAGCAGCAGGGGTTCATCTGTCTATGTCTCTCTTGTGGCTGCTCCCACTCCACTCAAGCACTATATATTTTTTATTTTTTAATTTGTTTAAATCAATGCTGCTTTTGTATGATTTCTGAGTCTTTTTTTTTTTTCTTCTGGAATCTGAGAGAACCTTTTTCATCTGGGGTTTGTGAAACTTAATTGGGATTATTTTTTATTACCTCTGTTTTTGATGACTGATTGTACGTCCCCTGTGTTATGGAGCGAGTGTTATTTGTGTGTAACAGTAGTTCATAAGGGAGAGGACTACAGTGACATCTCAGTATGTTTCATCATCATCATCATCATCATTCCACTTTATATGAAAACAAGGAAAACGAACAAAAAAGGGACGTTTTGTTTCCTGTAAGACTTCATGGTGGCACCCGTGCTGTGGGGCCAGCATGAGCTCTCTTCTGTGAAGAGGATGGTACCTCACAAGGCTACTCGTAGTTGTTGTTTGTATGTACCACAATCTGAATGCCCGTTCCAATGGCATCATCTATCTTTGAGGTGTTTTTTTTAGTCCCACCTGGAAGAATGAATAAAAAAAAAACTTATGACAAAAAATGTTTAATAAACCCAGGGCATTAAGTGTTTGACCAGCACAACTCTTTCCGTGTTGTTTGTCTGTGATGTGTGGAGGGAGAATGCATTCTAGTCTGCCTAAAGGAATTTGCATATCAGAACCATAGACTGTAGAACAAGTATTTGTAGTGATGAGATGTTTCAGTCATATCAGTAATTTAGGAAAAGCTGTTTTATTGCCTTCCAGACAGGCCTTATCATGGGAAATGCTGCTGTTATAGTGAAAGTTATTACAAAAAATATATGATTTCAATATTTCCACGTTTTAAAAAATGATCTTGATGTTGTTTACCTGCAGGATTGTTGAGGTTTTTTTCCACACGTTTGCATTATTTGTCTCTGACTGCTGCTGAAATTCTGCAGGTATTTGAAAATGTAAGCGATTCTTGCCGCTTGTCATTCTCGAGTAAAGGATTTGGAAGTTGATTGGTGCTCTTTTATATGTTAATGGAATTAAAGGGATAGTTCACCCAAAAATGAAAATAGTCATTTACTCATCCTAATGTCCCAAACCTGTACGAGTTTCTTTCTTACGTTGAACATAAAACTTAACATATTTTGAAGAATGCTGATAATCAAACAGTTGATGGTCCCCATTGACTTCCACAGTATTTGTATTTATCATAATATTTCAAAATATATTTTGTTCAACATAACGAACTTGTACAGTTTTGGAACGACATGAGGGTGAATAAATGACAAAATGTCCATTTTTGGGTGAACTATCCCTTTAATTAGGGGGTGTTTACAAGGCAGAGATCTGAAATGTTACTTATTTATAAAATGTTGCTTGATAAATGAGGCCCTATAGGTCCCAGTGCCACAATAAACCATGTCCGCACAATTTTTAAGCAAGAGGAAATGGTTTTTTATCAACATTGAAGAACAAAATCCCACAAATTTATAAAATAATAAAGCTTTAAAGAAAAGGCATGGCTAGTAAAACTTGCAACAGTTATGTATAATACTTCAACAGATTTTTGCAACAATAACTATTTAACACGGAGAGCGCAAGCGTATCCATGTTGTTACATCTCAACAATACTTAAATGTTAACACAGTAGCAGAAAATATTGATAATATATTCTTATAAAAACAACCAGCCAGTAGGGATGAAAAAAAATGACATAATATATTTCACAAATTGCATTTAGTAACTTTTATGTTAACATGCTGACATGAATATATATTATATTGTTTTAATGAAGAGACATCGATCCAAACGACGCTCTGAATTGTCATCCACAGGACTGTACAGTACAACTGCCACCGTTACATTTAGTCCAAGTTCTCGATCTGTAGCTTAGTATTGAAACGGTGCCCTTAAAAATGGAGAAAGGTGTCATCAAACCAATGTTAAACTTTTCCTAGTAACTTATAATAGCAGATTATTCTTATGTTTCTTATAAAGAAAATACATTTATTACTGACACCAACTCTAGCTGTAACTAAGCAGATGCCTCAGATAAACTAAGTGCATATGAATCGAATTGAATGAATTAGGAGTGTAAGATCAATACACACATTGGCATGCTAAATACTAAATAACCTACATGCTATTGAAAGACTGGAATGCATACACAAAAACCTGTACATTCACATATATCAAAATGTTAAAATGAAAATATGAATCTTTAAAGTAGTCTGGTTCTAATCACATGAAAAGCCTATATAAATATATGCACAAGAGTATAACTGATATTAACATTAAGTAACAGATCATCTACTTGAAAAAAAACATCACGTGTATTGTTAAATGAATTTCAAGATGGAGCTTAATACCAGGGGCCTCATTTATAAAATACTGCGTAGAAAGAATCCTAAATTTGATTTTACGATCATTTCTCAAAGTGCGTAGGCCTACGTGTGATTCATAGAACGAACTTCTCTTTTAGATATGAAATCTATAAATTGCAATGATCTTGAAATTGTGCGCAGCTGAACAGTTTCAGATCTCCGCACTGTAAGCAATGTCTAATTAATGTCCTTGACTTATAAAAGAGCACCTGACAATGTCCAAATCTTTTACAAGATTTACTTTACTTTTATATCGCATGTTCTGGATGAGGACCCATGTGCTTCTCACAAGAAGTCATTTGTTTAGGAAAGGTTATTTTTCCCTTTGTTACCTTAGTCCGAGATCATTTGTCTCAGATACTTTAAGTTATCACAGGCTATCTTCTTATAGATAAAGAACATAAAAATGAACTTTACTTTTTTTATATACTTATTTTACATATTGTGGTGCACAACCTTGTAGGTGAGTGACTGTATAAACTCATTGTCAAGAGGTAAAGTATAAATTTAGGCAAAAACAGTTCATAAAGGGCAAAAAGCACGGTTGATTTCATGATGAGATCCTCTCTTACCTGAGCTCAGCTAGGCTGGGGCAGTTCTTGATGAAGGAGAGGATCTGAATAGCCCAACTCTCAGTCACACGGTTCACTGACACACACAGTTCCATCTTCTTCAATCCAGACAAACAAGAGATGTAAAACATGAGCACATCTTTGTTCTCAGTTTGAAGTGCTAGGAAGAGGTTTGGCCAGTCAATGTTAATTAGATTAGATTGTAGAAAAGTGAGAATGAATGACGACAAAGATTTCTTTACAGGTTTTATATAGATCCTAAAATAAATTAAGGACAGAGTTAGAACCAAATTTGTGAATGCTTTTTTTTTTTTTTTTACTTTATAATGTAATTGTTTAGAAGTCTGTTTTGTATCATCTGTTATTTGCATCATTAGAAGTGTTTAATAAAGTCCAAGGTACAGCAAAAAGTAAAATGCGGTGCCATATACCATGCTGCTGTAAAGCATGGTAACCACAGTGCAATTATATATATTTTCTATAACATTACATAAAAGAGGTTCATATTTACAGTCCATATATTTATTTAGGATAAATCATCTAAGTCAAGTCAAAAATCTATATCTACTATAGCTAAAGGTTTATTCCCTATAAGACAGATTTTAGATGGGACAGTATATCAGTGAAAAAAAATCATAATTAACTAAGCAGTTTGATGGGTGGTTAATAAAAAATGTTAAGCATGAACACAAGGAATGTTTAGCTTTTTTTTTCATTTTTTCTTTACCTGGACAGTTCTTCACAGATTGACATATCAATATCTGCATAAACCAATTCAATATGAACCCTGCAAATCAAGGAATAGAAAGAAAAGGTATAAAACAAAACAAAACAAAAAAATGAAAGGGCATTTTGCATTTGAACCTTTTACTTTGAGTCAGGTATTATTAAAGACATTACCTACGTGTCTGTCCTCTCATAACAACACGAATCAGATCCACAAGCTCAGAGTCTTCTTGAGATTCTGGTGTCAACCTTCAAAATCAAAACAAAGATAACAAATTTAAGAAGTTAATACTAATGACATCATTATAAATAGTAAATATTATGGATAGCTTTAAAATAAGACACAATTTAAAGAAAATTTTATTTAGAAATCATCTTAGATTCTGGTCCTTTTCTACAGTGAAGACAGTATTTTATACACGCATATATACAGTGTGTGTGTGTGTGTGTGTGTGTGTGTGTGTGTGTGTGTGTGTGTGTGTGTGTGTGTAAAATATATATATACATTTTTTTTTTATTTGGGTGTTTCTTGTCACTCTAAATTTTGTTGTACCTTGTGCAATTACAATAAAGTATCTCACTCTTACTAAATGTGTGTGAACTCCTTTGAGAAACCCAAAATATCTGAAAAACTGATTAAGCCCCACAATATAATTACACATTTTTCTAGTAAAGCTATGAACATGTTACATCTCAAAAGAAATGTAAAGAAGTCTGTAGAGATGTTTGAGTAGTATGTTACAAATGCTGTTTCATGGTGACATTATTTATGTTTTAATGCCATATCAGCAACAATGGCTATATTCATGGCAACATTAACAGTTTCAATTCAATACATCATTTACAATAATATAACATTTTTTAAAGACATTTTCTTAAGAAGCAATCACTATACAAAAACTGTAACAAAAATAGCACTGATAAAAATCATATAGAATCTTTCGATTTAATCAATGATAAAAAAAAGTCTGAAATTCTTCCAGGAGAGACTTTTTATTTTTAAAAAGGTCTCTCCTTTTAGTTGTCTTATATCATTTAAAATTGGACATTCTATTAAAATATGTTTTACACTCTTCTTACACAAGTCACAAACTGGTTTTTCATGGCTTTACACAAATGTATGTTATATACTAAGTCAACTAAATGGAGTCAAATAAAAAATGAAATAAAACATGTCCTTTACCAGTGTTTTGTTCTGATACAAGGTAAACATGGCAAAAGTTGGCATCCAGGTAAGTAAGAGATTATTATGTACATAAACTGCTTACTGTATATGTTCACTGAGGGTTTGTTTTGAAGTGCTCACCTTAAACTCTCAAACTTGTGGAGTACAGGAAGAATCATAGACAGTTTTTCAGATGTTAATTGGCTTTTGGTGTTTTTTCAGAGTATGTGCGATAACCCAGTGAAACCTGCAGAACATTCGACACGTTTACCGTACAGATTTTCAGTAGCTAAATCAATTACAAATATGAAACTATACAACATTAGTACAACTGTATTTGCAGATATCTGATATACTTTAAAACAGTTTACATATTTCAGCACTTGTGCTTAGCACATGAAAATAGTGAATACATATTATCAGAAAACTTATAGCGAATATTGTCAGCTTCTGTCTACATTAAAACAAAAAAAAACTTACCAGGTGCATTATGTATGATGTGGACATTGCCTGCTTTTGTGTTATTAGTGAATATAGGTTCTGTAACATTGCTTCCACTCCGAGCTGCAGTGTTGACATTTAGCCCAGCATGAGCTCTGGAAATGTTCTGGTTAGTGCGAAACTCTAGGTGACAAAGGAAAAAAGTAGGTAATATAATGTGATCTAAAATGTAACATTACTGTTACAGTAATTAATAAATAATTTTATAATTAATGCACAGCTGAAGAGCAGATTTGGCTTAACTTTTTGCTTAAACGTAAATGAAGCCAAATCTTTCTGTAGACAAAGGTTGTTTTTCTTTTGTACTTTTAATCCACAGAATAAAAATAAACTTGAAAGATTAACGTAAGTTCTCTAGTCTTGACTGATAAAATCATGTTACCCAAAACCATGAGAGAAAATGTTTAGAAAAAGTTACACGTACTGCCCATTTCAGTTCATTTTCTGCAAGAATAGACCATAGTATTTGTAGATTTCCATGGTTACCACTACAGTAAACATATTTTACCATGTGTAAACAAAAATATAATCTAATAAGATGCTATCTTTGATAACTTTGATCATTTTGGTCACTATAATTTTATAAATTATAGTGAAACTGGGAGTGTCCATATTGGTAAATTAACCTCAATTCTTTTTGTGATTCCAGAAGTTTCAAGAATTGTTCTTCAATAAAAAGTAGCTCAAAAAAATCTACTGGGAGGGGGAGGATATTCTTGGGAAAAAGGAATCTGAACCACAAAAATTTACCTCAGAAGCAAATCATACAAGTTTGAAACAAAGGTGTGCAAATGATATTTTTCACTTTTGGGTGAAGTGTTCCTTGAAGTTGTATCCTACCTTCCTCTAATTCTTGATTGATGCAAATGAACATACAGAGACAGAGACTTTGCTTTTATGTTTTACTAGTTTTATGTTTTTTAAGTTTAATTTCTGTGAAAACACATACTTTACAGATTTTAATATAGCTCTGGTAGACACCAACAGTGATCATTTGTGCAATAATGAGAACATGCTATTACCCCTGCATATAGTAACTTATCTGCTGAATTACTTGCACTATATTTTGAATGCATATCCAGAGAACTGCCCCCTGGTGTTGCCTGGTTTCTCCCAAGGTTTTTCTTCTATATTATCCAACTTCATATGGAGTTTTTCATTCCTTGCCACAACTGCCTAACACTTGCACACTTGGGGACTAAAGAGTTTGTATTATGTACTTTATATTATGCCTGTTTTGTTAAACTGACCAGGGTGAAGTGACCAAAATCTTAAACCTTGTCATTTATACAGGCAGTGATATACACCAAATTGTAATAAATTGTACAATCCCTTACAGTTTCATAATCCTCTATATCACACCATAAATGAATAACCCCAACTTACAACTACTATATCCAGTTCTTTTTCTGATACATACAATATTCAAATTGTCATGATATATGCTATATAGCAAATCTTCATTTCTTGATTATTTATATTGTATTCACAAATAAACTATACTATCACTCAGCTCTTAACTGTTAAATGTGTACAATTAAGCATCAATATCATAAAACTATAGTATAGATTTTAATGCCATGTAAGCATCTCAGGCTTCATCTTCATGGCAAAAACTCTTACAGTCAAAAAAACAAGGGATACTTAAATACATTACTAAAACTCTGTAAAGGTGATAACAATTGCGATTACAATTCAACACCTACTGTAAATGCACTTTAGATTGATTTGGTTGCTGTCTTCATTCCAATCCTCAGCTCTAGGTAAAGATGCTGCTTTTGCAGTTTTCTACCATTTATCAAGCTGTACCATTAGTCCCAAAACAAGGGCCTTAGAAATGGAGAGACAAGATAAAACACATGATAAATATGTCTATATACAAAGTCAAGCAGTACGTACAGATCCACAATGCACACTATAATCATATGCTATAGCTCTTAAAACACGTACATTTCATATCCAATGCTCAAAAAAAGTTATAAAAAATTCATATTTTGTGTTGAAGGCTGCATAGTGCCATATTACAGTTCTCATTGTCATTGGTGCATTTGTGTTAGTCTTAAAGGGGTCATATGATGCGATTTCAAGTTTTCCTTTCTCTTTGGAGTGTTACAAGCTCTTGGTGCATAAATAAGATCCCTGAAGTTGCAAAGACTAAAGTCTCAAAACCAAAGAGATATTCTTTATCAAAGTTAAGACTCTGCCACACCCCCCTAAAACGGCTCGTTCTAACACGCCCCCACATATCTAGGTCACTATGTGGAAATATTTGCGTAATGCCGCCCAAATGTTCACGCAAAGAAAGAAGGTGTGGTTTCAGTAACCGCAGTTAGTGTTGAAGCAGTCATGTCAGGGAGACGCTGTGTGTTTCTAGGCGAAAGCAAAAGCACTTTATTTGGCCTTCCGAAAGTAGATGCATTTAGGAATCTTTAAGATCACTTACAACAGAACAGCAATGCATTTTATGAACGACCGTTTCGTGAACCTAGGAGAGGAGGTAATTCTGACTTTGCTATGACAATCTGG